ATGCAGTCCACTTCTTTACTTACAAAATGGCACTGTTTGCCATTCAGTGATTAAATGTTCTTGTTAGTGTTGAGCTGTCCACCACAACGTACAAATGGTACAGGAGCTTTAGTTCATCTCCAGGACACGCTAATCTCTTGCATCACATCTTCCTCAACGTCCACAATGATATCGAACTGTTCAAGCAAACCTCGACTTATTGCCATTGCATCCTTGCTTTGCCCGACAACACGGAAGCGATGATGCGTTATTACTGACTCCGACGTCAACTTCGCACAGCGAAACTGGATTACTGGTGGGCCTTTGATCGGTTGTCAACGTCCATCTTCTCGAACACATCGGCGAGGATGGTACCATCGTGTGTCTGACTACTGCACTAGATTGACCACTGCTTGGTTAGTAATACTGCGAAAACATTTTCGATCAACGCACATAAGTAATGATTATATACACGGACACGCACATCGATGCAGAGTGAATATACAATACCTTCGTTCGTTGCACTTGGCTGGACTTGCCCGATACGCTTGCAGCCCTCGTCAGTGACCATATCTCTTGTCTCGGGAAGTCGGAAGTTGTCTTCGTCTCGTGCCTTTCTTCCCATTCTCTTTTTGCGTCCGTGGTTCTTTTTGCGCTCAACCTGCTAATTTTCTCGTCTCGTTTCATGAGTGGTAAACAATCGACTGGATTCCGATTCTGCGTTGTGCAAACACGTCACGGGACACGTGCGCCACATTTTGTTCCCGTTGCCATCCGACTCTGACGTACAGTCGTTGCCCACAGTTCCACTTGTGACGACTGCCCTTGGTTCCGTGCTTTATCTCTTGTCAAAATTGATCTGTTTGTGACAATTTTGCGCTGTACGACCCTCACGCGATGTCGCCGTGTAGTTTTTTGCTCGTATATCTCAATTGAACAGCTGTCGAAAACGGTGCAGGACTAGTACACAATATGGTACCATCCTCCTGCATGGCCACAGGAACTCTGGAACATTCTGAAACTTTTGAGACCATCTGGCGTTGCCGCCCCCGCTGTCGAGATCCGCTTATTGACAGTTCTGGAACACTCTCCGCGATTATGCTCCAAGGTCGGTATCGCATCCAGAAGAACACACTCTTATAGGCCATAGAACAGCCTCGAAAGTAGTAGTAGTAGTGATATTTTTTTTCCAATCATGGATTACCATCGTTCAATATAATCGCGTATATTATCTTCAAAAATAGGAATACCTGTATCGACATACATCGAAAGTAAAAACATCGAGCGGTGTCATCCCAAAACCAACAGAACGATCATCAACGTTTGCACTGTTCCTTGTCGTTGGGCACCTTTTGTCCAAATGCAACATGGTTCGACGAAACGCTGTCCTGTAGTCAAACAAATGCACCTCTTTAGCCAGATGGATATCTGGCAGACTAAAGCTACAAAAACACCTTTCGAATCCCTGCGGCATAATATCGCTATTGTGCCAACACCAACAGCGCCAACGCGCCACCACCTTCTCGATTGATCCCGAAACCAGCGAGTCCTTCTCATAATCCCCAATTCACCCACCCACTCCATCACCCACCCACTCACTCCATCACCCACCCACCCACTCCATCACCCACCCACATACTCCATCACCCACCCACCCACTCACTCCACCACCCACCCACTCACTCCATCACCCACCCACTCACTCCACCACTCTCTCGTTCACCCACTTTCCCCCATGGCCGGCGTCGACCCAGCGAAATGGCAGGCGCTGCTCAAGTGGACCATGAAGCACACGTCGGACGGCACGACGCCGAGCCCCGCGACGCCCATCTCGGCCGACAAGCGCCGCTTCCTCGAGCAGGTGATGGCCGAAGCAGTGCTCGACGAGAACGAGCGCGTGCGCGACATCCTCCGCATCGTACGGGGCGAACACCCGCGTCACGTCTTCAACAGCGCATTAGCGGCCGACACGTTATCCATAGACACAAACAGCGCCAAAGACGCCAACGACACTGACGACACTGACGACGACGAAGCGCTCGCGCTGTACCGAGAGGCGCTGCTCGAAGAGCTCGTGACCCGCGTGGATCAGGTGGACACTGCGCAGAACTTGTGCAAAATGGACGGCCTCGCAGTGCTGCTGCACGTGCTGCGCACGGACGCGCGGCCGTCGACCCGTGCGCGGGCGGCAGAGGTCTGCGCGGTCGTCGTGCAGAACAACCCGTTCTGTCAGGACGCAGCGCTGGCCGCGGGACTGCTCGAGGCGCTCTGCGCGGTGGCGCGAACAGACGAAGACGTGACGTGTCGCGTGAAGGCGCTGCTGGGGATCTCGTGCCTCGTGCGCCACTGCGACGCAGCTGAGACGACGTTCCTCAGCGACACGTGCGACGGCCTCGCGCTCTTGCGGGACCACGTGGCAATGGCGTCGGACCTGCGGCTGCAGCGCAAGGCGCTCTTCTTCTTGCAGTATCTGATCGGCAGCAAGCGGGCGACGGCGCACGCGGTGCGCGAGATGGACTTTTACGTGCAGAGCGCTGCCGCGTTTATCCTGCACGAGGACGTGGACCTGTGTGAAAGCGCTGCCGACGGACTGGCGGCGTTTGCACTGCTGGGGCCCGAGTTTTTGGCGGCCTGCACGCAGCCCGAGCTCGACGTGGTGGGGAAGTGCGACGAGCGCTTGAGCCGGATCGATGCGCTTGCGCTCGAGCAACGGGAGTTGGCACAGGAGACGCGGGATCGGGTCGAGCGATTGAAGAAGGTGCTCACTGCGTAGGGGCACTAGAGACAGTCAGTCGGCAATGAGTGAGTGAGTGAGTGAGTGAGTGAGTGGATCCAACGTGGCGGTGCGTGTTGCTAGTGCGACGTACGCTTAGCTGCTCAAACCTGTGCGGCTGTCTGGTCGACACAGACAGAGCTCAGACCGGTGCAACGTCACTTGCTCGACCACGTGCGCTTTAGCTTTTGCGCCACGTACAAAATGGATTTCACGCCTCCTGCCGTGGCAATGCCCTTGATACTTTGCGACCGACTCGACCGAAACACAATCGATGCAATCACGCGCTGCAGCTGCTTCTTGGTGACAGGCTGGTGGGCGTGCGGTCCACGTGCGTGGGACTTGGCAGCCAGACGTCGCAGCACGTTGGACGGCAGTGCCTCGACAATGGACTGCCTCACGTCCGAGTTGGCGGTATTGGCAACGAGCGTGTCGACGTCAGAGACGGAACGGGACATGAACGGAGAGTTCTTGCGAAAGGAAACACCACAGCACTCATGGACCGATGAGACATACGCTGACGAGAAAGAAACGACAGACACCATCACAAGTAGACACGTACCTGAATGTTGCGGCGGTAGAGCTCCTGGAAGGCCTTGACATTGCCGTCGACGATGTTGCGCACCTTTTTCGGGTTCTCACCAAACGTCATCCGAAAGTCGCCCAAGTACGATATCCCTGCGATTTTCTGCATGCAAAAGCAGTCGTCGACGAGATGAGCTGTTTGCATCGCGCATCGATCAGCACATCGTCGCATTACGTCGCACTGACCATATACAGCTCATGCTCTGAAAACGTCTCGGGCAGACAAAGCAGAGCATAGTGCAGCGCGTGGGACAAGTTCGTCGACGCCGCTGCCTGCATGCACTCGTTCGTAGCGAGAATCGCGACCTGTGTACACATCAATAGCCTCAACAGCGACGGCAAGTGAGCTCTCTCGTCCGTGTGTCCACAATGCACTCCAACTCGATCGATCGATCGATCTTCGTGCGTCAGTCGTGATGCACTGCGTACGGGTTTGTGCATGCGGCCGCTAAGATAGAGCGTCTTCCAGTGCGTCAGGTCTTCAAGCAGCGTCCGCGTGCTCACGACGCCGTATTTGACCAGTCGGGTCCCGAGCAGGGGACCTGTGAGAGGAACCTGTCGACCCAATGGCCACACAAACAAATGAGATTAACTGCCGTCAGAAGCGCAGCGCACCTACATAGGCCCAGCAGCCGCTTCTTTGCCCATTCGCTCGCGCACTGCATTTTCGATACCATTGTGTTGTAGTACACACCCGCACCCCACGTCTCCTGGAAGTCCGCGACGGCCGCAGCGCCACAGTACTGGAGCATCGAGTAGTGGTGGGGATGGCGCGCGAGGTTCTGCTCGTGCCAGGCGCGCGCGTCGTCGACCGCGAGCACGAGGTCGACCATACTGGAGCGGGCGTCGTGGTTCGTCTGCTGGAACACGGCCGAGCCGTAGGCCATCGCGAAGGCCGTGCGCGGGAACGTCGCGTCCAGCGCCTGCGCCAGCGCCGCGGCGAAGCTGCGGGTCATGCGTTTTGACACGGGTGGACGTGGAAGGGTGTGGTGCACATCAATTGTCGTGTATCTGGTGTGGTTGACCGTAATTGGGCGGTCCGAGCATGTGTTGGGATAGCGGTCGATCTGTGTATCGATTTAGAAGGGGTTGAGAATAGATGCGAGGGACAGAAGCTGTGGCTTTATACGGTGCCACAGCATCTCGATCGGTATCGGTCGCTCGTTTACGCGATTGCAACCCTCTGATAATCGATAACTGCCAGCACCTGCAAGCACATGGGTCTGTGTTTCTCGAGTCACGCAGTCTTGCAACAGACACGAAACGCGCTCAAAATACCGCACATAGCGCTTGTAGGGTTTCTAAATGACAAAGCTCCGATGCTAAGAATAGCGCTAAATTAGAGTCCATTCGCACTTAGCTCGAGACCTCCCCCCTAATTCTACTGCCGTCATGCGATACGTGGCAATTCCTGCCGCCCACACAATCAAATCGGGACACACCACTCGACCACTCGACTCGACGTGCGGCCCACCGACACATAGACACCGACAGACAGACCCGTAGTCGACTTGCCTGACACACACACACACACACAGAGGAGAAGCCGTTATTATGGTACGCTCAGCTCCCCGCCACTCGCCTTTACGACGCTGTGTACTCACTCTCTCTCTCTCTCTTTTCCTCTCTGTTGTCACTGTGTGAATGTCCTCTCTAACTTGATATGTCTCTTGAACAGACTGCGGCAGGACCAAGCGGAGCTTTAGCCGGCAAGAAACCGGCGCCAACGGCATCGGCCGAAGGCGCCGCCGCCAGTGGGCTGCGCAATCGACGCCCTGTGGCCGCCGCCCGTGCGGGGCAGAACACGGGACGGGGCATGGGCGGCAGCACGGCCGGTATCCTGCGCTTCTACACGGACGACTCGCCGGGGCTGAAGATCGGCCCGACGACGGTGTTGGTCAGCTGTCTCATGTTTGTGGGGTTCGTCGTGCTGCTGCACGTGTGGGGCAAGTTCCGTGGCTAGAGCAGCGACGCTGTTGACAGGACAAGAGAGGACAGATGGACGGACGCTGGAGCTTAGGTACCCATTGGCTCGGTCAGTAGATGACAAAGAAGAGAGAGATGGACAGGACGTCGACGTGGGAACGGGGGGGGGGCACTTGTGGACACGACGTGACTGTGGTGCAACGAGAACGAGGAGAGAGAGAAAGAGGAATTGACATGCACAGTGCTGCGACGTCTATGGAACTATTGAGAAGCTGTTGTTGTCGATCGTCCGTCTGTCTGTCTGTCTGTCTGTAGCTGTGTCTGTGCACGTGGTTTTGTGTCGGTTGCTGTCGTATGCAGCAGCGAACGAGAGAAGGCACGAAGTCAGTCGGGTCCAGCACACACAAAGCTCTAGGATCTATAATAGGAGGCAGGGCGCCTTACACACCACATTGACTGATGACACTGTCGACGCTCGCTGCCTGAACGACAGTCAGGTGCTGCGGCGTTTATTTGCCTGCGCTGGTTCGAGCACTCGACGGCTCTCTTACTTGTCGGCGAACGAGCGCTTGCGCTTGGTCTTTTTCGCCTTGTGCTTCAACTTGGGCTTGTCCTTCAAGCTCTTGGATGTGCTCGCTGCAGGTTCGATCGTCACGGCAGCTTCCACCACCTCATCGACTTTGTCAGGTACGTCAACTTCCTCTTCATCTTCCCCTTTGGTCAATGCCTTTTGGTGCCCATTGCTGCCACTACCGGTCGCCACGAACGAAATACCAGCGGCTTCGGATACCCGCTTCACCATTCCCTTCACGACCGGAGACTGGGAATCCACAGCCTGTACAGCTGATACTACTGCACGAACGCCTGCCTCCATCGTCTTTGAATCCACCACCGACGTGTGCCAAAACTTCACAAGCTGCAGGGCAAACGTCATCACGACCTTCATCCGCTTGGCCTTCAGCTGCTGGACACTCTCTGGGGCCAAATGCCTCAGCACTGCCGTCGTGAGAGCTTTCTGCACGCGCTGGAAAGCACTTTGCTGGGCAGCAGACAGCTCCCCAGTCTGCTGCAGCTTACTGCTCCCTCGCAGCAGCACTGTCAGCAGTCGGAGCACTTCGCACTTGGAAAACTCGTCCACTGCTGCTTGCACATCAGACCCGTCCACAACGTCTTTGCTCTTCTCCGAAGCTGCAGCAACAGCAGCAAGAGGCTCCAGCAGCACACGCGCACCAGCCGCAGGCGACTTGAGCAACAGCTCGTCAAAAGACGCACGTGGAAACCGCGAGTGCTTCTTCGTAAAGGCATCGAACACGCACTCGCGCATGATCGCCTGCACTCCCTCCTCGCTCGAAGTTTCACGAGCGCAAAGCACGCGCACGAGGTGCACCACAGCGGTAGATGCGACCTTGCCAGAATGGCTCTTGTCCACGGGCGAGGTGCGAATCAACTCAACAATCTGACGCAGCGCGTCCAGTGCTTCAGACTGAACAGCTTCGCCGGACGGGATCTTCTTGTCTTTGGGGAAGCGAAGGACTTTGTGGAGAAGCACCGCTTGCACGCGATCCCGAAGCACCACTTTCTCGCTGGCAGCGCTTTGCACGCGAATCAAGACCCGGAACAGCGGAGCCACCAACGACAGCACTAATGCACTGTGCTGCGCAGCTGTTGCATCGCATTGCTCGGGACGCTGTGACACAAACACTTGCAGCAGGTCCAGCACACGCAGCTGGAAATGCATCGTCTGCAAGCGGGCCCGCTTAAGTTCCTTCTTGCGCTGAGACCGAACCTTGACCTGCCCCACGATCGCAGCGATCGCCAGGTCTTCATGGTACAGCGACGCGAGCTTCTCGTCGTTGCGGAACGCATCCGACAGCGCGTCGGCCGAATACAGCCCAATTTCCTCTTCTTCGTCGTCTTCTTTCTCTTCGTCGTCGCCAAGCGGATTCGAAGCAAACCCTTTGCCCTCCTCCTTCTCCTCGTCAACATCAGCATCTTCAGCTTCACCCGATGGTTCAAGAACGTTCGCCATTGTGGTCAAACAAGCGCCGTCGAGTAGCGGCAGCAGCGATCGGAACACCTGCGACACGATCTCACGCAGCGCGCTCGAGTCTTGTGACAGCAGACTCAGCAACAAATCCGTGAGCACCACAATCGACTCCTCTCCTGTCAGCTCAGACTCGCTCTGCTCCTTCGTCTTGTTCTTCTTCTTCTTTGGTGTGGTAGAGCCCTTCTGCTCTTGTACAGCCAGCTGAGCATAGCACTTTTCCAGGTCCGCAACCACCACAACGGCATCTTCGCGCTGCTCGCCGTCCAGGAACTGCAGCCCGGCACTCATGAATAGCAAAAGGAACGCCTCGCTCAACGGTCTGCGCGCCGCTACCTTCTGTGACGTCCGTGATTTCTTCTCTTCGTCCTCTTCCTTGCTCCATATACTCTCGACATGGCCAGCTAGCATACGAAACTGTGCAGCATCTTCTTCATCGAAAGGACCTCGTAGAGTCCCAACAGTGCTATCGTTTTTCATGCTATTGGCAATTGCGAAAACGCGACTCAGCACACTCGCATGCGCACGCACACCATCGGCTCCTGCGAGGCCCAGACTCAGCATCGAAAACAAACGCGTCTTCGCATAACTGGCCACGTTCGCCGACACTGACGGATTTGCTGCCGCTGCCTCTTGTGCTATCCGTTCCATCTCTGTTGGCTTGGTCTTCTTGGACGGTTTGCTCTTCTTGCGCTTCTTGACAGACGTAGCCTCTGCGTCGCTTGACGCCGTGAAGAACGAATGGAACACTAGGAAGCGGAGCACATCGTCTTGCAGCTTTGACATTGCAACGTCCGGTGCAGTCTTTGCGCTGAGTATATCGGACAGCGCAGCTACCATGACTTCCAGCGTCCATACTCGCGCACGATCTGTGCGTCGCTTCATTGTGTCTTTACGCTCCTTCTTCTCCTCAAGTTCAAGGAGTGCATTGAAGCCTACAGCATCCGGTTTCTGCTTCTTGCTTAACGGCTGATTCTCTTCGTCACTGTCAGCTGCAATCGACGTCACGAGGATCGCAAGAGGCGACGTGAACTGTTCGCGGAAAAAGCGGAAGAATTCGGCAGGTGTGCAGGCTGCAAAGGACTTGAGACAGTGACGGGCAGCTTCATGCAGGTAATTCTTCTTCGTGACACCGTTGATATACAAGCACTTGACAAAGCGCGGAGTAAGAATCGACCGCACATTCGATACCGCGAGCTTGGGAGCCACAAGCTCAAACAACTTCAGCGCCAGACCTTGACGCTCGTGGCTGGTAGGACCGCCGTCATCGGGGCTGGCCCCACCCACTAGCGAGTTCTCCACCAGCTCAGTCCACGTTTCTCGTAACAGCTCGCTATCAAGCTTAGCCGAACTGCCCTCTGTCAGATTAAGCACGTGACCAAACACGCCAAACCAAGCCGAATGCACGTGTGGGTAGCATCCTGACGACCCTCGCAGCGGGCGAGCGAGCAAGTGCATCCGATGGCGCTGCAATGCGTTCGTTGCTGCAAAATCCACCGGCAACTGCTGCATCTGTGTTGCATCTCGTGCAATACCTGTTTCATGCAAGTATCGCTGCACGCCGACTGCAAGTAGCACCTGATCTGCGTTCCACGCTTCCACACCTTCATCGTTGCTGTCCTTGGACGCTTGACACTGCAGCAGACTATGGATCGAGGCAGCCACGTCCGTCACGAACAGCTCAGCTGGCACGTCAACCAGCAGCGTCAGTGCCGCTTCGTAACACGCCTCCCGGAACCAGCGCTTGAACGCCGCCATTTCCAGCAGCTCCTTGAGGACCGTCACGAGCAACGGCAAGTCAGTCTTCAGACGACCCGATCGATGCAGCGCCAGGAGACCGCAGAGACGCCCAAACATGTGCTCGCGCTGCTCCATGGGCTTCATCGACGAGTGCATCTCCATGGCCTCGTGCAGCACGTCACGTGTCTCGTGGAGCTGCAGCAGCTGCGGAAACGCAGCCAAAAGACCGCTGAGGGCTGCGCCGAAGCCTTGACGAGCGGCGTCGCGCGACGACGCCAGGCCGCGCACCAGTCGCTTGAGCGTATACTGCACCTCTGCCTCTTGCTTCGGACTGCGGAGCTTCAAGTACGCGAGTAGCTGCGCTGCCGCCTGCGTGCGCACGCTGCGGTCGCTCTCTGCCAGCGTCCAGAAGAGCTTGAGGAAGTCGACTTTCGGCGGTGGCGCGCCGTCGGCCTCGTCGGCGGCCGCTGTTGTCGTCGTCGCCTGCTGCTGCTCGGCGCCCATGACCTCAGACGAATTGTGGCGACCGCTTGACTGGTGGGTGGTGGTTGAACGCGAGAGGTGGACGCGAAGGTTGCAGCAGTGGGGAGGTTGCACGAACAGCCGGCGTCCGTCCGGGCTCGACGATCCCAACAAAGCGCGTAGCTTGACAACTGCGGGGACACACACTGCAAGTATACGAAGTATACATGATAATAGTGGCTCTACGAAACGGGCCGATGAACGTGTCGGATAACTGATACCAAGAGCTACGACCTCATTTCCACGGCATCACTACGGTCGGTAAATGTCAACGAGATGCACTACAACGACCCAGCTGCAGCTTCAAGAGCCTTGATCAAGTCATCGACACGTGCGACGTTCACCTTGATCAAGAACCGCGTCAGGTCGCTGCTGTCACCCTGCAGCGCCAGAGATACGCCCGACTTCTTCCCCGAGGTCTCCGTGTGCGGTTGTACAGTCATGCCCTTGTACAGCGCCGAGTTCAGCACGACCTTACCGATCGCGTTGCGGACGAGTATGCGCGCACTCTTTCCGTCTTTGCTCACGAGCACCTTGAGAGGGTGCACGCCTTTGTCTGCCCAGCGTCTCTCGTCCTTCTTGAACTCAAAGATCTTCGCCTTGTCAGCTTCAAACGTGCAGTCGTCGTCAGGAGAATCAGCCTGTGTCAACACAAACGTCCGCATACACGTGCACGGTAAACCGACTTGACCGATAGCAACTTGGAAGAGAAGACCGCAGAAGACGGCTACGTACCTTGATAATCACCGTAGCCTCCTCGCGTCCGATGGTTTCCTCCTTGTCATCTCCCACACTCGCAGAAGTAGACGTTGAAGCTGCTGGAGCTGAATGTCCGAAGCTTGTTCCTGTACTCGAGGCAGGCGTAGCGCTTGTAGCAGCACTCATGTTGCCGAATGCGAGCCTGCTCGTGGCAGGAGGAGATGAGGCTACAGGAACCGCTGGCGTAGGCAATACCTCGAACGAGAATGCAGCTGTGGTCGTCTCCTTTTCGGCTGAAGGCTTGGCAGAAAATATAGAGTCCGTGCAACCAATACCGCCCCACATCTCCCCTGATGTTGACTTCGACCGTTTGTCCTCCTTCTCAGCGACTCCACCGCCGAATGCAAGTCTATCGCTTGTCGGGGCCTTCACTGATACATCCTTCGTACTGGCGCCAGCATTACTTACGCCAAAAGAAAGTGGCGCGCTGGACGCAGACGTAGCGGGCTGTGGGATTGCAGCAGGGGCCGACATTGAGCCAAGCGCCGAAAAAGGTTCGGGTGTGGGCGCCAGCATAGAAACAGCAGTAGCCGTTGTCGTCGGTGTTAACTTCGCCCGTTTGTGCTCCTTCTCAGTGGCTCCACCACCGAATGCAAGCCCATCGCTTGTCGGGGCCTTCACTGATCCATCCTTCGTACTGACGCCAGCATTACTTACGCCAAAGGAAAGTGGCGCACTGGATGCAGACGTAGCAGGCTGTGTAATTGCAGTAGAAGCCGACATTGAGCCAACCGGGAGAGGTGCGAGTGTGGATGCCCACTTAGCCTCAGAAACAGTAGTGGCCTTTGCCGCCGCATGCTTGGCCTCAATCTCGGCCGCACACTTCACGTAATCCTGCACACGTCATCGCACACCCCACACACGTCACCACTCTCCACTCCTTTTTGCACAGCCATCACAAAGCCTCCGACATCGTACCTGAACCGCCACCACCCAACTGACACTCGGTTTCGTCTGCAATTCGTCATCGACAAAGGCCAAGAAAGCTATGTTGAGTTGCTCCATCGCTTGCTTGAACGAACTCGAGGCCGCAACAGTGATACTGTTACTGGAAGCTACGCTCGTCGTGGCAGTAGCTAAACCCGGTGACCCCGTGATACCACCAAACCCAGCGAACGGGTTGGCACCAGCAGCTGGCTTGGCCGTCGTGGCAGTAGCTGCACCTGATGACCCCGTGAGACCACCAAACCCAGTAAACTCATTGGCACCAGCAGCTGGCTTGGCCGTCGTGGCTGTAGCTGCACCCGGTGCACCCGTGATACCACCAAACCCAGCGAACTGATTGGCACCAGCAGCTGGCTTGGCCGTCGTGGCTGTAGCTGCACCTGATGACTCCGTGAGACCACCAAACCCAGCGAACGGGTTGGCACCAGCAGCTGGCTTGGCCGTCGTGGCAGTAGCTGCACCTGATGACCCCGTGAGACCACCAAACCCAGTAAACTCATTGGCACCAGCAGCTGGCTTGGCCGTCGTGGCAGTAGCTGCACCCGGTGCACCCGTGATACCACCAAACCCAGCGAACTGATTGGCACCAGCAGCTGGCTTGGCCGTCGTGGCTGTAGCTGCACCTGATGACTCCGTGAGACCACCAAACCCAGCGAACGGGTTGGCACCAGCAGCTGGCTTGGCCGTCGTGGCTGTAGCTGCACCTGATGGCCCCGTGATACCACCAAACCCAGCGAACGGGTTGGCACCAGCAGCTGGCTTGGCCGTCGTGGCAGTAGCTGCACCCGGTGACCCCGTGATACCACCAAACCCAGCGAACGGGTTGGCACCAGCAGCTGGCATGGCCGTCGTGGCAGTAGCTGCACCTGATGACCCCGTGATACCACCAAACCCAGTAAACTCATTGGCACCAGCAGCTGGCTTGGCCGTCGTGGCTGTAGCTGCACCTGATGACCCCGTGAGACCACCAAACCCAGTAAACTCATTGGCACCAGCAGCTGGCTTGGCCGTCGTGGCAGTAGCTGCACCTGATGACCCCGTGATACCACCAAACCCAGCGAACTGATTGGCACCAGCAGCTGGCTTGGCCGTCGTGGCTGTAGCTGCACCCGGTGCACCCGTGATACCACCAAACCCAGCGAACGGGTTGGCACCAGCAGCTGGCTTGGCCGTCGTGGCTGTAGCTGCACCCGGTGCACCCGTGATACCACCAAACCCAGCGAACTGATTGGCACCAGCAGCTGGCTTGGCCGTCGTGGCAGTAGCTGCACTCGGTGCACCCGTGATATCACCAATACCAGCGAACGGGTTGGCACCAGCAGCTGGCTTGGCCGTCGTGGCAGTAGCTGCACCTGATGACCCCGTGATACCACCAAACCCAGTAGACTCATTGGCACCAGCAGCTGGCTTGGCCGTCGTGGCTGTAGCTGCACCTGATGACCCCGTGATACCACCAAACCCAGCGAACTCATTGGCACCAGCAGCTGGCTTGGCCGTCGTGGCAGTAGCTGCACCCGGTGCACCCGTGATACCACCAAACCCAGCGAACTCATTGGCACCAGCAGCTGGCTTGGCCGTCGTGGCAGTAGCTGCACCCGGTGCACCCGTGATACCACCAAACCCAGCGAACGCGTTGGCACCAGCAGCTGGCTTGTCCGTCGTGGCTGTAGCTGCACCTGATGACCCCGTGATACCACCAAACCCAGCGAACTGATTGGCACCAGCAGCTGGCTTGGCCGTCGTGGCAGTAGCTGCACCCGGTGCACCCGTGATACCACCAAACCCAGCGAACGGGTTGGCACCAGCAGCTGGCTTGGCCGTCGTGGCTGTGGCTGCACCTGATGACCCCGTGATACCACCAAACCCAGTAGACTCATTGGCACCAGCAGCTGGCTTGGCCGTCGTGGCTGTAGCTGCACCTGATGACCCCGTGAGACCACCAAACCCAGCGAACTGATTGGCACCAGCAGCTGGCTTGTCCGTCGTGGCAGTAGCTGCACCCGGTGCACCCGTGATACCACCAAACCCAGCGAACTGATTGGCACCAGCAGCTGGCTTGGCCGTCGTGGCTGTAGCTGCACCTGATGACTCCGTGAGACCACCAAACACAGCGAACGGGTTGGCACCAGCAGCTGGCTTGGCCGTCGTGGCTGTAGCTGCACCTGATGACCCCGTGAGACCACCAAACCCAGCGAACTGATTGGCACCAGCAGCTGGCTTGGCCGTCGTGGCTGTAGCTGCACCTGATGGCCCCGTGATACCACCAAACCCAGCGAACTGATTGGCACCAGCAGCTGGCTTGGCCGTCGTGGCTGTAGCTGCACCTGATGACCCCGTGAGACCACCAAACCCAGCGAACTGATTGGCACCAGCAGCTGGCTTGGCCGTCGTGGCTGTAGCTGCACCTGATGGCCCCGTGATACCACCAAACCCAGCGAACTGATTGGCACCAGCAGCTGGCTTGGCCGTCGTGGCAGTAGCTGCACCCGGTGCACCCGTGATACCACCAAACCCAGCGAACTGATTGGCACCAGCAGCTGGCTTGGCCGTCGTGGCTGTAGCTGCACCTGATGACCCCGTGAGACCACCAAACCCAGCGAACTGATTGGCACCAGCAGCTGGCTTGGCCGTCGTGGCTGTAGCTGCACCTGATGGCCCCGTGATACCACCAAACCCAGCGAACTGATTGGCACCAGCAGCTGGCTTGGCCGTCGTGGCAGTAGCTGCACCCGGTGCACCCGTGATACCACCAAACCCAGCGAACGGGTTGGCACCAGCAGCTGGCTTGGCCGTGGTGGCAGTAGCTGCACCTGATGACCCCGTGATACCACCAAACCCAGCGAACGGGTTGGCACCAGCAGCTGGCTTGGCCGTCGTGGCTGTAGCTGCACCTGATGACCCCGTGAGACCACCAAACCCAGCGAACGGGTTGGCACCAGCAGCTGGCTTGGCCGTCGTGGCTGTGGCTGCACCTGATGACCCCGTGAGACCACCAAACCCAGCGAACTGATTGGCACCAGCAGCTGGCTTGGCCGTCGTGGCTGTAGCTGCACCTGATGACCCCGTGATACCACCAAACCCAGCGAACGGGTTAGCACCAGCAGCTGGCTTGGCCGTCGTGGCTGTGGCTGCACCTGATGACCCCGTGAGACCACCAAACCCAGCGAACTGATTGGCACCAGCAGCTGGCTTGGCCGTCGTGGCTGTGGCTGCACCTGATGACCCCGTGAGACCACCAAACCCAGCGAACGGGTTGGCACCAGCAGCTGGCTTGGCCGTCGTGACTCCCTATTTTGCACCCAACAGCAACAATAAAAAAGAGGAAACCCACAGTCAGCTCTCAGCCACTCGGCCCCTCCAAACTCGTCGGATGCCTCTTCAGACCTGGAAACCTCCAAACGCATTTCTCGGAGCCGCGTCCGCCTTTGCTTCACGCGCCGTCGCAGTGGCCGCTGCTCCTACTGGGCGACTCCCCACTCGCGCTTTGACGATTTTCCGTCGACGGATCGCCGCGTCGCTCGCGCGCTGGAACCCGACAGCGCCCGAGTCGCCGCCCGCTGTGTCGCCGGCCGCGTCGTATTCCTCGCGGCGCATCTGTCCGTTCTCGTTGCGTCGCTTGGCCATGACAACTGCCCAAGTGGCGACGGCGGTCGGCGGTGATCGGCGTCGGTGGTTGGGGCGTTTTTCACTGGTGCAAAACAAAATGTCGATATTTCGGAAAACGAAACACAGACGTCCGCCGCGTTTGTTTGCACGATTTTGTGTGCGCGCGCGCGGAAAGCATTGGAACGACAGTCGATCGAGTGTAATTATGTATGGACTATAAATAATCCCGCGAGTGTGGACCTTTTTCGAGGTACAAAAGCGGTCACGATGCGGTGGTTTTGATGCGGTTCTGATTCTGATTCTGGTGTATTTCGGGAAGCGAGCGAGCAGATACTGTATCATGTACGTGGAACATGAAGTGGCGAGTACTCCCTTCTGTGGACTATCTTGCACACATTAACTATGTCAATAGATGATCATGAAACTCCTCCTCCTTCTGTGGACTATTTTGTTGGCAGCTACTTGCACGGATAACACAGATGGGCCGCTGTCGAAAAAAGCGGCGTGCTCGACAGCACTAAATGCAGACGACATCGGCCAGTTGCATCAAAGTCGACGACTGTCAATCAGTACATCGGATCGGAGGAGCTGGAACTGGACAGAGCACCAGTCAGCCAACGACGCCAGTACTTTGACAACGACGTGCAATCTGATTGCATTGGCCTGTGCTCGCTAGTCACGTTCATGCCATAGCGCACACTCGAGAACCCGCCAATGACGAAAGAAGTGCCGAATGGATGCAAGCAGATAGTGAGATGTGCCAACCCGCGCTGGCAACTCGTTCCGACCAGGATCGGATCCAGGACGCACGTTTGCTAGGGTGAAAGCACTGTGGTGTGATTCCAACGCTAATCTGCAAAGGTCAAGAGTCCAGTCGCTGGCCGATCGGCTTTCTTCTCGCCACCCTACGAGAGGCGGTATTATTCATCTCGCACAGACTTATCGCGTCTCGTTTCACCAGGTGTTTCCCATCCTCATCTTCACGGACAACTTAGTGGTCGACAACATGACACTGTACCAAGCGGCACACTTGATCGGGCAAACGATCGCGACAAGATAGTTCCGTATCAAATGGTGCACTTGCTCCACTCGATACGATGCCGTGTTGCCGCGACCGTCTGCTCGTTGGTCTACTCTTTTGGCAGAACATCATATCTGCATCGTTAATTACAAGATCTTTGACCGCTGAAGTACTTTTGATTATGAATTGCTGATCAGTTGTTCTGTATGCGACGTCAAATCCACGTCATCCGCATATGGATTCTCAGCAACTGGGTTTGTCATATCACGAAAGCTGAACTTTGGCTGGGCCAATCTCTCAGACCACAACCGATAAGTCTTATCGATAAGATGTACAATCAATAATCAAATTGCGAACGCAAAGCCAAGGCATGGTTGTCCAGGCCTTCTTACGACGAAGCCAGTGTTTCGAGATACCATGAGGAGGATATCCTTTGCGTCATCTTCCAGCGGCATGACGTTGGCTACAAAAGCCGAAGCAGTCTCGAGGCGCAGCTTATCAATTGCGGTAGACGGATGATGAACGATTTCAATCCTGATCAGCGATTGTGTGGGACGCAAACAAACAATCGCTCTCTCTCTCACACTATCTCCATGCCTTGATCGAAGATGCGCATGCAGATCGCTCTCAGTGACCGGTAAAACACTCACACCACTCTGCGCAAGTCACGTTTGTTGCCATGAGTCGATCCCGGCGAGAACCTCTTTCGCCTTTGCAATACTATCAGAAACGTCATTGGTCATGAGCTCGTGCATTGGGCTCACAGCAACGGACGCCACTCGTGAGGGGCGTGATCGATCCGAGTGATCAAGTCTGTCGCCTACGTGCAACAAGAATGTTCACGATATATAGGAAGCGGCCACTTTGCGGCAGCACAGGTCATTGGTCGCTCCATGTTGCACTACCATTCAGCGATGCGGCAGTGCGAGTGTATATACAGTACCATCAAATGCTGACATTGTCAGAATACTTCATTTATGGACTTGCTACTGGAGGTTTCGGACCTTGAAAACTAGTGACAACACACTTCAGACATCCAGTAGCACAGACTACAACGAACCGCAGCGCATATCGAAAGCAGGGGACGTGGAAGCTGATGCACAGCAAAGCAATCATCAGTCAACAAATGAAAGAGACCAGACGATAACCTGTGCTATGCTAACCTTGCGACGCTCGTCACTCATGGCGTCGGCAAGCAGCCAGCTGCAACACAGGCTGCCATACAAGTTCCCAGCGCCGTATTGCAGCCAATGATAGCGGGAACGGTGCCAATGCCCGCGGTCACAGTGCCAAACACTGCACCGGCAGCACTGTAACAAGCCACTGCAACGGCGTTGCACCCGGCCTGGCAGATCCCGTAAGCGAGCGGCCCTGCGGTGACTCCTGCGAGGCTCAGCCCCACAAGCACGACAGTCATTTCCTTGAACATCTTTCTCGAGAGCTCCCAATTGCGAAGTGGGGTCCGTCAGTAACATAGAACTTGTGACCGTCCACATAGCAGTTAGTTCGTTTGTTCGTTTGTTGCCGTGCGTGAGTTCCATGGAAAGTGGAAAAAAGTCGTTAGGTGGAGAATGTGCTGTTGTTCAATAGCGTGAGTGAAAGTGACCACGTCGGACTTGCGAGGCATTCATATCTGTGCTTCATTCTTACAGAGTGATAGAAGCTGCTACGTCCTTGTGCGATACAAGAAGATGTATCATTGCAAGATGGAAAATTTATCAGCCCATTTCGGTTGGATGTTCAAGCTGTGTGTTTCCCGTACTGTTGGAGGGACCGTGACACAACAGCAGCAACAACAACAAGAACAGCATCAGCTACAGCAACAACAACAAGAACAACTACAGCTACAGCAACAGCAGCAACAACGACAACAAGAACATCAGCAACAGCAACAGCAACAGCAACAGCAACAACAACGACAACAACAAGAACATCAGCAACAGCAACAGCAACAGCTACAGCAACAGCAGCAACAACGACAACAAGAACAGCATCAGCTACAGCAACAGCAGCAGCAACAACAACAACAACAACAACAACGACAACAACAAGAACATCAGCAACAGCAACAGCAGCAGCAACAACAACGGCAGCAACAACGACAACAAGAACAGCATCAGCTACAGCAACAACAGCAACAACGACAACAAGAACAGCATCAGCTACAGCAACAGCAGCAACAACGACAACAAGAACAGCATCAGCTACAGCAACAGCAGCAGCAACAACAACAACAACAACAACGACAGCAACAAGAACATCAGCAACAGCAACAGCAGCAGCAACAACAACAGCAGTAGCAGCAACAACAAAAACAGCTACAGCTACAGCAACAGCAGTAGCAGCAACAACAACAACATGAACATCAGCAACAGCAACAACAACAACGACAACAAGAACAAGAACATCAGCAATAGCAGCAGCAACAACAACGACAACAAGAACAGCTACAGCTACAGCTACAGCAACAACAACAACTACCACAACAACAACAACCCCACCGACCGCAACACTACCGACCACAACCCCAATGACCGCGACACTACCGACAGCATCAGCGATGCAAGTGGCAACACCGATCTTTGGCGATCTACCAGACGCGATGAGGAAGTTTTTGAGAGAGGTGTTGTTAAGCCAACTGAAGCTGCAACTAACTCGTGAAAAGGGAAGGCGTAGGTCTGACAATAACCCGAAAAAGGAACCGCACTTTCGAAAGTTTTATGCATTACGTAGGCGTATTTGTAAGCTGCAAACTATTCAGGAGGCGTTTGGTGGTGTCGTGTGTGGGGTTTACGTCAATACTTAACGCACTTAAAAGCTTTGCGTTTCCAGATACCGTACCATCGCTCGTCTTTTTTGCCCCATAGTGTACATACAGTTGTCAACCCCCCAAAGGTATATATCCTCATTTCCCGTCGTCCATGTTCGTCGTAGTGGGCTCCAGAGAGCCTCTGTACAAGATGGAAATGCGGGCGCGACGCGAGGACAGTGCGCACGTGGACGAGTTCGTGCTGCACGCAGCACTGGATCTCGTGGATGAGCTCGTTTGGACGACGCCCAACATGGCGCTCAAGGTCGTGGACCGGTTCAACGACCAACTCGTGTCGGCGTTTGTCACGGCTTCGGGCGTGAGGTTTCTCCTACTGCACGAGACGCGCAGTGACGAGACCATCAAAGGCTTTTTCCAAGAGGTGCACGAGCTCTATATTAAGGTGAGAGAGAAGAAGAAGAAGCAGAGGGCTCGAGGAGATCAGAAGTACCAAAGTAGTGGATATCCATTGAGTGAGGTGAGCTAACGTTTCGTCGTGCTGCTGCTGCTACTTCTGTGGGTATGTGCAGTTGTTGATGAACCCGTTCTACGAGTACGACACGCCAATCACTTCCGAAGTGTTTGACGCGCGGGTCAAGACATTGGCGCGGAGGTACCTAAACAAGTGAAGATTTGAGTGCTTGCGAGTCGCTTTGAAGCTACTCACTATGACAATCATAAGATGGTCTTCATTGCAAAATAGCTCCCTCTGGTTCGGTTCTTAGGTGGTGCCTGCCTGACTGATTGGTTGACTGACAGCGCTAACAGCCTAAGCGCGCACAACCTGACCGGCAATGCGGTCGAGGTCCTGCTGACCGTGGCTCGTGATCTTGCGACCGCCCTTGTTCACGCCCTCGGGGCACTTCTCGACGACCTTCATCTCCTCCAGCTGCTGCAGAATGTGGCGAATGAGACCGCCCGACGCCTTCTGGAAGTGCTGACGGTGCACGCCCTTGCGCGCTGCGCCACCGTACACTTTCTTGAGCGACCCTACACCAGTGTACTGGCGCAGGTACACCTTGCGCGCGATCGACGCCGCGCGAATGTAGTACCAGTCCGGGTCCGCCGGCGCGTACTCCTTGAACGACGCCGTCTTGACCACGTCCCACCACGCAGGCAGTTCGATCTTGCCCGATCGCTTCAGGTGCTCGGCGTACGCCTTGATGAACTCGGCAGGCTTCACGTCACGCACCGTCACGCCGTACGCGACTTCTTCCTCGTCATAGTCAGCCATAGTGGATTCGAGTCTGCATCGACACGCAGCAGAGGCACAAGAGGTTAAGAACACGTCTGTACCACCGCACGCCCCGCGGGACCCTCAGCGCAACGGCATCGAGTCCACGTCAGGTGCACAGGACAGTCTCGGTCTTAAAACACATTGTCATTACAACGCGGTGACCAAAACAAGTCACTCAGGTAAGAGCAGTCGCAGTCGAGACGGCGCCGCGACAGCTGAGTGGACAGAACCACTGCGTACGGTACGGTGCAAGTGGCCAGCCAACGCCATCACGACGACGACAACGACGCCGAACACGACGTATACAGTATACAGTCACTTACTTGGCACGAGAGGAACTTTGCAACAATCCCTTTCCTGCGTACTCAACAGACAGATGAGCTGCTCGGTCGCTCGCGAGGCGGAGCCTTCTCGTCCAGTGGATGTCGATAGCTGAATTTCCACCAATCGGATCGCGCGTTTAGAGCCGGCAGGTACCCACACGCGTATGTCGTTTGCTGTAGCCAGTCGTGTCCATCGGATTCGAGAGGGACCTCGTCGCGCTCTATGCTGTTCGATAGGCTGCAGCCACTGGCCAGCACGCTTCGGACCCAGTCGTGAATATCGCAGACACGAGAGGGCAGCGCCTACTCTCTCTCGCTCTCTCTCTCTCTCTCTCGCTCTGCCCTCTCTCTCGCGTGTGCGACGATGTTGGTGCTGTTCGAGACGGCCGCCGGCCATGCGCTGTTCAAGGTGCAAGACGAGACCAAAGTGGCCACTGCCGACGACGTGTACAAGCAGTTTGCGACGTCGGAGAAGGCAACCAAAGTGCTAAAGCTCAAGGGGTTCAACGCGTTCAAAGACACGACCGAAGCTGTGGCGGCCGCAACCGACATGGTGGACGGCAAGATGGGCAAATCGCTGCGCAAGTTGCTGAAGAAGCACGTGGTCGACGCGGGGTTGAAGGACAAGTTGGCCGTGTCGGACAAGGCGCTGGGCGCGCTGATCAAGGAGAAGCTCAGCATTGCGTGCGTCAATGACAGCGCCGTGCACGAGATCATGCGCGGCATTCGGGCGAACATGGACACGCTCATCACGGGGCTCGAGGACGACGACCTGAAGGCCATGACGCTCGGGCTGTCGCACTCGCTGTCGCGCTACAAGCTCAAGTTTAGCGCCGACAAGGTGGACACGATGATCGTGCAGGCGATCGGATTGCTGGACGAGCTCGACAAGGAGATCAACACGTACTCGATGCGCGTGCGCGAGTGGTTTGGCTGGCACTTTCCCGAGATGGGCAAGATCGTGACGGACAATCTGCAGTACGCCAAGTGCGTGCTCAAGATGGGCGTGCGGTCGCAGGTCAAGAGTCTGGACTTTTCCGATGTGCTGCCTGAAGACGTGGAGGCCTCGATGCGCGAGGTGTGCGAGGTGTCCATGGGCACGGACATTTCCCAGGAAGACGTGGCCAACATCTCGGCGCTGTGCGAGCAAGTGATCTCGCTCACCGAGTACCGTGCGCAGCTCTTTGACTACTTGAAGAACCGCATGAACGCCATTGCCCCGAACCTCACGGTCATGGTGGGGGAGCTCGTCGGCGCGCGTCTGATTGCCCACGCTGGCAGTCTGATGAACCTGGCCAAGCACCCGGCCAGTACGGTGCAGATCCTCGGCGCCGAGAAGGCGCTCTTCCGTGCGCTCAAGACCAAGCACGACACGCCCAAGTACGGGCTCATCTACCACGCGTCGCTCATCGGCCAGACGGCGCCGAAGCACAAGGGCAAGATATCTCGCGTGCTGGCTGCCAAGACGGCATTGGCTGTGCGCGTGGATGCACTGGGCGACGCAACTGAAGCCACGATTGGCTTTGACAACCGCGCCAAGGTGGAGGCCCGCATGCGGCAGCTCGAGAACGGCTTCTCGGGCGTCCCCAATAGCAACGGGAAGGTCAAGAACGAGGCCAAGAAGTATACGAAGACGGAGACGAGCACGTCGTACAATGCCGATGCAGATATGACAGTGTCGAGCAAGAAGCGAAAGGCTGAGGAGGAGGCGGGGGAGACGGAGGCGGCGCCAAAGGTGAAGAAGGAGAAGAAGCACAAGAAGAAGAAGGCGACGGAAGTGGAGGAGGACGAAGGCGACAAGAAGGACGACAAGGAGAAGAAGAAGAAGAAGAAGCACAAGAAGAAAAAGGGTGCCGAGGAATAGACGCAGCCGACGTGTGGATGATCATTAGCTACTTCACTGCAGTCCACATGTCCCTTTCCAATTTACTCTATCGTGTGCTCTTTCGTCGACGGGCGGCCGTGGAGATGTGTGTGCTCCAAAAGTAGTAACGTTATCCTTTGCTTTCCATCCGATTATGTTGAAACCCGAGTCAAGAGAGAGTGTGGTGGTGGAAATGATAGTGCCATGTTCGCGACCACTGTATTTGTTCATCCTGAGCCACTGCGCAGCACGAGCCAACTGAACGAAACGACAGCCACCACATGCAGACAGCAGCGCAATACCTCTCTCTTCCTGCAACAATGAGCCACTTGTGCCGCACAAAAGTGCAGCCAACAAGACCCCACTGCACACAACTGGCAGAACGCGAGCACCGCAACGGAGCCACACAGGTCCGTGGAGCTACCCACTTCCACGACAAGAGACATTCACTGCCTCCGTCCACAAGCTGCAAGCCCATCAATGAAGAACACCCAGTTCCGCTTCGCTCCAGTCCCGCTTCGCCCCACCCAGCTAGTCGTCGTCACTGTCGTCGGCGTTCGGCTGTCCACCGCCCAGCATGCCCGCCAGCAACGACGACGGGTCGGCCGACCCCATCTCCTCTTGGGCTTTCTTCACGTCGTCCGGGTCTACTCGCCATACCGACAACAAACGCACCAAACGCACCAAACACACCAAACACATACAAATCAGTAACCAACGACGACCCAGCGCGGGACCCGAAACCGCGGCCCCCAAAGACCCAAAAGACCCAAACAATCCACCGCTCGCCCGACAAACGTACCCATTCCGGCCGTCAGCTTCGGCAGCACGTACAAGAGCCCAATGGGCACAATGATCGTCAAGAACGACGGGTTCATCCCCAGCGTCAGCACGTTGAACTTCTCGCGCGGGTCAAAGTACTCGAGCGCCTTCACGGGCTCCGCCTCCAGCGGATACCTCGCGGCCGTCCACGGAGCGCCCACGTACGCAGCCTCGCGCACGCGCACCGCTCCGTCGGCTTCGATGTCCACTTGGAACTGCCCGAAGAGCAGCGCCGTGGACGGAATGCTCACGACGTGGCGACCGATAGCGACGTCGGCGAAGCGGAACGAGCCGTCCGCCCGCACGAACGCCGTCTGCGCGCCGCCGTCGAGTTGCACGACCAGCGGCTCTACCGGTTCAGCAGTGGACGTGCGCGGGCGCACGACGCCGCTGAGTTCGTGTGCGGCACTGCACGTCGCGAGGAGCAGCGCGAGAGACGCCGCGAGGTTCATGGGGTGTGGCTACGCGGATGACAGAGCAGGAGTAGTGGTGGTGAAAAGTAGTAGTATTCCGTGTAGTGGTGGTAAAAAGTAGTAATGATACGTGTGGAAAGTAGTACTCGTATTTGTTGTTACGGTCGGTTCTAGTTGATGTGCATTTGGTGCTTGTGGCAGCCCATACCAGAAAACCTGCGAACCAGTAAGTCTTTCCTACAAGCGAACGCTCACGAGTGGCGTGACTTACACTGAACGATAAGGGACACACCGCGAGCGTTGAATGATATGTTCCAAAAAAGCAGGAAACAAAACCATGACAGAGAAAGCGGAATACAGCAACAAAACCAATCAAGCCAAATGCACTCTCCAGTATATGTTTCGTCTGTCAGTGCAACGCGTTAACGACGCTATAGTAATTATGCGGTCGCCTCGTTCTCCGCGCCACTAACTTCGTCGTAGTCTTTACGGATTCAGGTACTTGAATTCTTCGATCTTGAAGCGTTCATTCTCAGGAAAGTGCTTGTTGATCCGTTCGACATACGATTGAAATCGTTTACCGTCTTTATGACTGAAGAATTCGTCAATAGTTCCGCCGCCATGTGCCTGCAACCACGTACCCCAAATATCGCGGAAAATGGTTTCCAGCACATTTTGAACTACACCTTTCGCAGTTGAATCGATTCGCCCCCATGCCCACATGCTTTCCGAGAGCAGCGCCTCAAAATTCTGCGATTCCACTCTACTCTCATGCACGGCGGACGCTTCCGCGCCAGTGGTGCGAAGGCCACTCACCGGATCATCCGTCACATCGCCACGAAGAGCATGGGCTTGTAGCAGAGTCGCCGTGGACACGAAGACGACGATGCCGGGCAGGAGCAAGGCGTGAACAAGACGCATTGCTCAATGTGGGTGTGGAGAAGTGTTCGCTGGAGGGTGAATGTGGGAATGAGGTGAAGTAGGGGTCTCGGAGATGCAGTGCGCCCATCATCCAGCGTGCGGTTTGAGCCCTGCTTTCGGGACATGCGTCCGGTGTCTACCGTATGGCCACAAGACTGGAAGGTGCGTTTCACTGCTCTTATCCTTACAATCGTCCTTACCATAGTATGCAGTTCAATATGCCACCTGAGACCAGAAATCAGCTCGGTGGAAGCCGGCTTCTCGACTTGATTCTTGCATACCATATGTAGCACAAAAACCAGTCGAAGAGAAGCCACAGTCGCGCGTTGTATAGACCGCCTCGTTCCTTTCATCGATTGACAGAGCACAGGACACTCGAGTCTATCGCAAGGCGTCTCAGCGATCCTGCATCCCTTACCGAAAAACGATTTGTCCCGCAGCACCTGGTCGCCAGATGGGTGGTGGTGTCAAGTACGTCCATTATTATGATAACTAACGACTGATAAGTGTGACAAGAAGTACGGCCCGGGTATCGGGTCGACAACTAAAGGGCTCCGTAGAGCCAGGGGCGACGGCAACGAGGTCAGAGACCCTCCTACCGAAGCCAACTACGAGTCCATCATGACCGCTAAGGCGACCAAGTAGACTGAGGACATGCGTACCGCCGGAGCGGCAGCACGTACAACGCGGGTATGCTGCCATATAAGGCAACAAACCCCTTTAGGACCGCTTGCGCGACCCCCGACGTGGAGTGCGAACACCGAAGTGACTGCGTGGCGTGGAGAACGCCAACCCGCCATATATCTCTCCGAGGAGCTCAACCATCTGCGATGGTGGCCCCCTTCAGCCGCTTGCGCGGCCCCCGACGTGGAGTGCGATCACCGAAGTGACTGCGTGGCGTGGAGAACGCCAACCCGCCGTATATCTCTCCGAGGAGCTCAACCATCTGCGATGGTGGCTCCCTTCAGCCGCTTGCGCGGCCCCCGACGTGGAGTGCGATCACCGAAGTGACTGCGTGGCGTGGAGAACGCCAACCCGCCGTATATCTCTCCGAGGAGCTCAACCATCTGCGATGGTGGCTCCCTTCAGCCGCTTGCGCGGCCCCCGACGTGGAGTGCGATCACCGAAGTGACTGCGTGGCGTTGGTCGCCAGATGGGACTATTCACATCCTGAAGCAGAGGAGAGTAAAAACTGGTCTATCCATCACCCATTATGATGATGTGCACGATCTCTCTAGAAGGAGGAGGAGTTTCATGATCATCTATTGACATATTTAATGTGGGCAAGATGTCTGAAAAGTCCTGAGCCAGGATATGAGCGCCGGTCGCGGCAGCGGATCGTGGCTGACACCCGCGTAGGGCGGGTGTCCACGGGGCTCTTGAATCGGTAGTTCAAGACATGCATGAAGTCGGGCCCCTCGTACAGCAGTAGCCGCGGCTCGATGCTCGCGTATTGCAATTGCCCGTAGCTGGCGGCACGATCTCTCTAGAAGTTCGTCGATTAGAACTAGAGCGCCGGGTCCGGCTGAGATTTGTGGCAGTCCGTCGGGGGCAGCGAGTCGTCGCTAGGATCTAAGGTGAACAATTTGAGACAGACGTGTAAAGAAGCTGCTTGAGCCACGGAAGCGGCTCTATCCTATTCACACAAGCGAACGCACTGAATGGACGTACGCCTGTCGTATGGAAGCACCAGCCACATTAAGACGAAGCAAACTGGATGCCTCGAAACACGGCGTCTTTGCGCTCGCACCACAATGGTGTGATGCAGGTTGAGCTCATGAGGAATCAAGTCCTTTCCCGAGCCCGTTCCCCCGCCTTGACATCGACTTGAAGTCTCGTGAGCAGCCGATCCCGCACGACTCGAGAAACACAAACCGATGTGCTTGCAGGTGCTGGCAGTTATCGATTGTCAGAGGGTCGCAATCGCGCAAACGAGCGACCGATACCGATCGAGATGCTGTGGCACCGTATAAAGCCACAGCTTCTGTCCCTCGCATCTATTCTCAACCCCTTCTGAATCGATACACAGATCGATCGCTATCCCAACACATGCTCGGACCGCCCAATTACGGTCAACCACACCAGATACACAACAATTGATGTGCACCACACCCATCCACCTCCACCCGTGTCAAAAAGCACATGACCCGCAGCATCGCCGCGGCGCTGGCGCAGGCGCTGGACGCGACGTTCCCGCGCACGGCCTTCGCGATGGCCTACGGCTCGGGCGTGTTCCAGCAGACGAACCACGACGCCCGCTCTAGTATGGTCGACTTCGTGCTCGCGGTCGATGACGCGCGCGCCTGGCACGAGCAGAACCTCGCGCGCCATCCCCACCACTACTCGATGCTCCAGTACTTTGGCGCTGCGGCCGTCGCGGACTTCCAGGAGACGTGGGGTGCGGGTGTGTACTACAACACAATGGTATCGAAAATGCAGTGCGCGAGCGAATGGACAAAGAAGCGGCTGCTGGGCCTATGTAGGTGCGCTGCGCTTCTGACGGCAGCTAATCTCATTTGTTTGTGTGGCCATTGGGTCGACAGGTTCCTCTCACAGGTCCTCTGCTCGGGACCCGACTGGTCAAATACGGCGTCGTGAGCACGCGGACGCTGCTTGAAGACCTGACGCACTGGAAGACGCTCTATCTTAGCGGCCGCATGCACAAACCCGTACGCAGTGCATCACGATTGACGCACGAAGATCGATCGATCGATCGAGTTGGAGTGCATTGTGGACACACGGACGAGAGAGCTCACTTGCCGTCGCTGTTGAGGCTATTGATGTGTACACAGGTCGCGATTCTCGCTACGAACGAGTGCATGCAGGCAGCGGCGTCGACGAACT